TATTGAGCATTGCCGATTGCATCAGATATATTATTTCCTTTAATACTCACAACTGCCCTTGGCATTATTACAGAGGAGGAACCTGAGGTACACAGAGGCTAAGGCACACCAAGCCAGATCCAACCAGGACCTTACTCTTAACTGCAGCGCTGTTGCTTTCCCTAAATGCAGTGTTTCGTCTCATAAATCCTTATGCATCTCCGTCGCAAATGTGGACTTGTTTAGCACTAAAGTGGGTCAGTCAGAACAGAGAGGCCAGCAATTCACATTGGGTGGCCCATGTGTTGTCGGGGGTGGGTTGTGCTTTGGAGTTACAGATACTTAGTCTAAGTTAAGTCTCATGATTGCTCATCTCTGAAATTGGAGAGTGGTTCTTGTCCTTTGTCTAACTTCTAGGGAAATTGCTTGGAGAAGAAGAAGCTGTAATTAGATTTGTACTTTATATCCAACATGCCTGTAAAGAGATTTGTGTATCTACAAGGAATTACGACTTTTTAGCCAAATTTATAATTATGCTGTTATGAAGATACATGTATTACATGGGACTCCTGAACTTTTACAAATAAAGCAAAATGAGAAGAATAAATTTGTTTGCTGAAGATAAAGTGAACATTATGGGCCTATTACGGGGACACATTTCTATATTTTGTAATCTCCCTAGAAAAAAATTATTTCATATATAAATATAACCCAATAAAAATAAATCTGTAAAGTCGTTACACATATTATAATGGGAAGTATTTTAACCACAGGGAATGACCCATCTGTACAATTATGTCTCCTTTGTTTTTATTCTTCTTCAGAAAATCTCTTCATCAATTCCCTTGTTAGTCAGGAATGAATCTACCTGTCTCTTGAAATAGTATTTTGCCTGTTTTCATAGCAGCTTTGAGCTTCTTCAGTTACGTTAGCTGTTGTACATAAACATTAGTTGAAATTGTGTGGTAAATCTTCATTCATATGACTACAGGCTTTATTATTCTGTTTTCAAATGGTATGGGATGATTGAGATGGTGGAAGGGAAAGAGAAGCACTATATTAGATGGGATTCATCGGTCACAGTAACACACTCACTCTAGCTAGCATTAAGTGAAAAGGGGTATTTATAACAAGGATGTAGAGTATCTTAGGGACCCAAAGACAGATTGTGATAAACAGCCTTCTAGACATCTCTCTGGACATCCAAGAACACTCACACACAAATGAATCATAGTGCATGTGGTCATTTACCTATTTTATTCATTCAGGAGTATATAATGGATATCTTTTCATATCAGTAAATATAGACTTCCAACATTGTTTTCAATATCTATTGATATTGTGGTTTATTCAACATGTCTCATAACTGTGGGCCTGTAGGGGCATTTATCCTCCTTCCCTCATAATTATAAACAATATTGTGTGTATCCATCTCTCTGCTTACATCATTATCTACTTTGAGAGAATTCTTGGAAGTGGGATTGCTGGATCAAAGGGCATGCCATTTTACACGCTGAGATAATCTCCCGTGTAGCTACAAAATAATATTTCCAATTTACATTTCCTTTGTAAAAAGGCCCATAACACTGGCTATTTATTGTCAGTCTTTGTTATCTTTACCAATCTGATAGGTAAAAATAAGGTCTCCATTTTCTAAAATTACATATTTTTGTTGTTAGTACAGTTGATATCTTTTCATATATTTCTTGCTGTTACATTTTTTAAGACACAGAAAATTTGTCAATTTGTATCCATTTTGAAGGAAGTATTAATTTTCTTGTTTATTTTTAAGGGTATCTTAGTCTGTTTTTGTTGCTATAAAGGAAGGCAGGCATGGTGGCTCACACCTGTAATCCCACAACTTTGGGATGCTGAGGTGGGCGGTTCACCTGAGGTTGGGAGTTCGAGATCAGCCTGGCCAACATGGGAAAACTCTGTCTCTACTAAAAATACAAAAATTAGCTGGGTGTGGTGATGGGCACCTGTAACCCGAGCTACATGGGAGGCTGAGGCAGGAGAATTGCTTGAACTCGGGAGGTGGAGGTTAGTGAGCCGAGATCATGCCATTGCACTCCAGCCTGGGCAATGAGAGTGAGACTCCATCTTTAAAAAAAAGAAAGAAAACAAACAAACAAACCTGAGATTGGGTAATTTATAAAGAAAAGAGATTTATTTGTTTTCTTTTTAATTTTTGTGGGTACATAGTAGCTATATATACTTTTGAGGTACATGAGATAATTTGATACAGGCATCTAAAATTACAATAAAAATATATAATTTTAGAAAATGGAGACTTTATTTTTACCTATCAGATTGGTAAAGATGACAAACAAAGACTGTATAATAACCACATCAGGAAAAATGGGATATTCATCACCTTGAACATTTATCCTTTGATTGTGTTAAAACAGATAAATCCAGTTATACTTTTTTAGTTATTTAAAAATGTACAATAAATTATTGTTGACTGTAGTCACCCTGTTGTGCTATCAAATACTCAATTTTGTTCATTGTAACTCTATTTTTGTACCTGTTAACCATTCCCACCAGCCCCTCCCCTTCCCACCCTCTGGTCACTATCATTCTATTACTCTCTGTCTCCATGAGTTCAGTCGTTTTAATTTTTAGATCCCACAAATAAGTGAGAACATGGTAAGCTTGTCTTTCTGTGCCTAGCTTACTTTATTTAACACAATGACCTCTAGTTCCATCCATATTAATGCAAATGACAGGCTCTCATTCTTTTTTATGGTTAAATAGTACTCCACTGTATATGTGTATCACATTTTCTTTATCCAATATCTGTTGATGGACACTTAGGTTGCTTCTAAATCCTAACTATTGTAAATAGTGCTGCAATAAACATGGGAATTCATATATCTCTGCAGTATACTGACTTTCTCTCTTTTGTGTGCATACCATATCTTTTCATATTAATCAATATAAGCCTCCATCGTTGTCTTTAATGTCTATGTGGTTTATTCAACATGTCTCATGTGTGCGGGCATTTAGCGACATTTATTCCCCCACCCCATAAAGAGATCTATTTGTGCATCTATAAAGAGATCTTTATAGATGTGTTCGATGTAAAGTAGGATTGTTGTAATCATATGGAAGCTCTGTTTTTAGTTTTTTTTGAGGAACCTCCAAACTGTTCTTCATAGTGGTCGTACTAAGGAGCTCAAACAAATTAATAGGAAAAAAAATGTAATATTCTGATTAAAAAATGGGCAAAAGACCTGAATAGACATTTCTTAAAAGAAGACATACAGATAGCAAACAGGTATATGAAAAGGTGCTTGACATCATTAATCATCAGAGAAATGCAAATCCAAACTACAATGAGATATCATCTCACCCCCTTTAAAATGGCTTTTACTCAAAAGACAGGCAATAACAAATATGGGCGAGGATGTGCAGAAAAGGGAACCCTCATAAAATAGGTTTATTTGGCTCAAGGTTCTGCAGACCGTATGCATAGTGTGGAGCTGGCATCTGCAGCCACTAGGCCCTCTGGCTGCTTCCACTCATGTTGGAAGGGGAGCCAGTATAGGCAGATCACATGGTGAGAGAGGAGGCATAGGAAAGGGGAGGGAAGTGCCAGGCACTTTTCATTAACCAGCCTTCTTAGGAACTAACAGAGTAAGAGCTTACCCTCGAGGGAGGGCGTTAATCTATTCCTGAGAGATCTTCCTGCGGGACCTAAATACCTCCCATGAGGCCCCACCTCCAATATTGGGACCAAATTTCAGCATGGGGTTTGGAAGTGACAAACATCCAAAGTATAGCAAGGACGTTTTGTAAAGTGAGGTTAGCAGCCTTTTCTATGTCTCATGTGTAAACATTTTCTCTAGCTTCTTGTTTTTTTGACTTTGGTTTTGTATTTTTTTTTTTTTTTTTGAGATGGAGTTTTGCTCTTGTCACCCAGGCTGGAGTGCAGTGGCACAATCTCAGCTCACCGAAACCTCCGCCTCCCGGGTTCAAGCGATTCTCCTGCCTCAGCCTCCTGAGTAGCTGGGATTACAAGCATGCACCACCACGCCCAGCCTCACTGTTTGTTTTTTAAATTTCTGTTCTATTTTTCCATTCAGAAATTTTAGGTTAAAAAAAATTGTCACCAGCTACATGTTTCAGTCCTTTATAGTTACATATTTTGGTGTCATTCTTAAAAAGGCCTTTCCTATCCCCTTATTATAAAACTATCCCTGTACATATTCTCCTAGTACTCATTTGCTTTATTTTGAGCTTATTCTTCCATAAGTAGGGAGAGAGAGATCTAGAGTTTTCTTCTCTTGAAGTAGCTAACTAACATCATTTGTTAACTAGTCTGTCATACCCACCCAGATTTGATTGCACGTACTTGGGTCTGTTTCATATGAATCCTTAGTTCTGTTTCTGGATGTTTATTCTGTTCCGTGCATACGTGTGCATGTTCTCATGCAGGCGCCTGCTCGTTAACTGTGTCTAGGCGATTTTGTTGATTTCTACAATTGATTATAGTGCCTCTCTGCTTCAGATGGGTTTCCAGGGAGTAAGTTTCCAGTGCCTTGGAGAACCAGGAGCCACATGAGAACAGCAAAATCAAGAAGGGCCTACTTCACAGACATATTAGAGGAACTAAATAGGAAAAGAAGAAGGCAAGAGCACCTCATGCAAACTCATTTTAAAAAGAAGCAGTGTAGTGCCTGAGATTTTTGTTTCCAACATTGAGGGAGGTGGATGCCTGTATTTGATTTTCGTTTAAATTCGAAGTCATTAAAGCATTCCTACCACAAGGAAGAAGAAAATGTGTTTTGTCTCTTTGCCAGCAGTAACATAATTTTGGTCTTCAAAGTAAGTGTCTTGGGACCTGAATTCCCCGTGGATAAAGAAAATTCCCAGCCCATGTGTTGTGGCGGAAATTCATCATTTCCTGAGTTATTTCCTTTCATGCTTAGTGTGGGGAAAATGACCAATTGTATAGATTGCGATTCTTTTTCAAAAACATTACCTGATTCTGATGACTTTTATTATTATTTTAGGTGCTGCAGGAGGCTTCTCACATGCTTTGGGATATCTTCAGGGAAATTCACTCTTAATAGAAACTGAGAATTTAAGGTAGGTCCTTTAACAAAGATACTTTATTCTTACCAATTGTCCAAACCCCTGCATTGGTATAGCTTTATTAAGTGTTAACCTGCTGTCTGTTACGCTGTCTCATTTGATCTTCACTGTGGTTCTTCGAGGCAGGTGTGTAGAGTGCCCGGTCCTAATGCTCCCATTGCGGTCTGATTTTTCCTCCTGGTAGTTTGGTGAGGTGATGCTAGGGGCCCAGAGGAGGGGTTGAGTAGCTGTTTTTTGTTTGTTTGTTTGTTTTTTTAATCATATTGGACCTTATAGTGTGAATTCTCGTTCATTTACACTGGTTTGCTTCATAAATCTTTTCTTAGGGTGCTGTGAGGGGTTAGTGTTGGGTAAGGAATTAATGTAGAAAATTCCATTGGTCTTTTTTTTTTAACTTTTAAGTTTGGGGTACACATGCAGGTTTGTTTCATAGGTAAGCTTGCGACATGGGAGTTCATTGTACAGATTATTTCATCACTCAGGTATGAAGTCTATTATCCATTAGTTATTTTTCCTGATCCTCTCCCTCTTCCCACACTCCAACCCCCGATAGGCCCCAATGTGTGTTGTTGTCCTCTCTTCCCCTTTTTTTCTATGTATTCTTGTCATTTAGCTAACACTTAGAAGTGAGAACATGTGGTATCTGGTTTTCTGTTCCTGTAACATGTGGTATTTGGTATTCCTGTATTAGATTGCTAAGGATAATAGCCTCCTGTTCTATCCATGTTCCTGCAAAGGACATGATCTTGTTCTTTTCATGGCTGCATAGTATTCCATGGTGTATGTACCACATTTTCTTTATACAGTCTGTCATTGATATTTTCAGTGGTCTTTGAACTGAAACTTGTTGGTGGTTCCTGGAGCCCTCCATGGTTGCAAGATAGTTGTTCGAGCATGAAATAAAGTAAACTTTGGTTGTAGATTATTGTTTTCCTTCTTTGGTTGTCCTGGGGGGTGCGGTTGTATGATCCCAAGTAGTGTGTGCAGTATCCTGGGCAGAGACACAGGGCTCTTCTGCTGATCTTAGTTGATGCTTTTACCCAATAGCTGTATCATGGCACATCCAGATGTACCAGTTCTGTTTCTGACCAGCTGCAGAACTTGGGACAGGTTAATCATTGTCTCTTTTTCTTCGTTTGTAAATTGTGTAGATTGGCCTAATCTAGTCATTTCTATACTTTTAAATTTTTTAGAATGGGAGAAAAATATTTCAGGACCTATTTCTAATTTTTTTGGCTATATGTAAAGAAAATTGATGATTAAAGCTGGATAGGTGAATGCAGGTTCGCTATATTTACATACTGTTCTTTGTATTTTGCGTGTGGAATTTTCAACAAAGATTTATTTTCACAAAATAACTACCATCTACTAATATGATTTTGTCAAAGAGGAAAAATACTAAAAGAATACGATTATTCCTCAATTTGTCCTTAGACTGTACATATTTAGCATTATGAAAATGCTGTTTATTTATTATCTCTTCCTCATTTCTCTGTAGTCCAGTGACTGATAGACATAGACTAAGCAAAATTGGCCCGAGAACTGGTGTTTGGGAAATACTGGGGCACATGACTGCTGAGGGCTCTTCTGCCACTGAGACTGTATAGTCTCCTCTGAAGCAGAAAAGAAAAGTACTGTACGTTGCCTATTTCCAGAAATTTCTGTGACAGCTAGCATGGCTGAACTCAGGTCAGAGGACCATGCAGAAGGGAAGAGATGATTCTGTTGGGAACGTTCAGTAAAATTGGCCCATTTATGGGAACATCTAGTTAAGCTTTGAGTCACACCATGGTCAAGGTAAAGACAAAACAGAGTTTTAAGTAGCCTCATGGAAGTGTACAGACTCCTCCATTCCTACCATTGTGGGGCAGCCTCTGGCCAGGTGTGATCTGACAGATAAGTATCTGCCTGGGATGTGGGGATGCTGAGAGCCAGGGATGAGGTGGGTGGAATGCAGACTCCATTGAGACTAGTGCAAACCCTGGGTGTGAGGAGCTCCATGCTTTGTGTGGAGGTTGAGGGCACAGTTCGGAGTTCCAAGCTAATGGCAGTGGGATCAGGTGTGCTCAGGATGGAGAAGAGCTTGCCTGCCCAGAGGGCCATCTGGGAATCCAGGGGTGGATATTGTCCTTTGAGCACCCACAGAGGGTGCTCAATGGTCCAATCTGGCTGAAGGACCTGGGGCACAGTGGACAGGAAACACATCAGATCTGTGCCTTTCCCAAGACTTCATATCTGAAAGGAGTGTTCCAGGTGGATTCTGAAGCCATCATCTGTAGGAAATGGAAAACCGTGCTTTCTGTTTACTTCTCCTTGGAGTGTGTGTGTGTGTGTGTGTGTGTGATGAGGAGAGTGGGAGGAAGACAGACGGAATAATGGGCTGAATTATTTAGCACAGTAAAGTAACATGGGGAAGAGCAGCAATACCTATTACAAGAAGTCTGTACAATCCTAGCTGCTTCTGAAAGTCCTGAGAAGTTACATGTCCTCTGCATTGATTGGAGTATGGTGGTTCAGTCCTTTGGAATTCTCCCTTAGTGATTTCTGGCCTTTATTCATTTTAACATTCTAATGTTCTGGGAAACCTCAATGAAATTTGACAGACTTACCTAGTTGTTTTCTGTACTGTCAACTCTTGGTTTACTGCCTAATTGGTATCCATCATATGGGCCTCCTCTACCTGGGAATATTTATTCTCTTCCTTCTTAGGAAAAAGCTGTATTGAACAACAACAGAAACATTTGTCTTAAATGTGTAGGAATATGAGAGATTACCTGAAATCCTGACATGTCTGAAAGTGTATATATAAAGTCATGAGTAAATGCTAGCAGGAGATTTTATTTTGACATAAACCAGAGAAAGGAGAATTGCTTTAAGTGATCTGGACCAGTCCAAGTCTGAATAAAAGTTAATAAATGAACAATGTAACCGATCAATCATGTTCTTGAGCCTTTCATAAGGCTAAGACATTCTGGATGAGATCTTATAGGGATGAGCAATTGAGAATTTGAGACGGCCGTGCTTTGCCAGAATAAACATGATGCTTTAAAGAGTTACATGCATGCATGGATGTGTGTGTGTGTGTGTGTGAGACAAGAGAGATTGTTAGATGGTGTGGGGGAATGATAAACGATTTGTTTAGCATTTTACATAATGACTTGTGATATATTCTGGATTTGAGAATAAATGCAGTATTTTGACCTTATCTCTGTATTCCCTGCAGGCTTGTAAGAAAAATATTTTAAAATCTACTTTCAATGAAAAATACTGTTTTTGGCTCTCAGGGAATTTTTAGTTCCCACTGCTGTTTAGGGAGGGTTGTTGAATCTGTGAAAATCAAAGGAGGATCTTTGCAGCTCTTTGTCATTCTGTACCAGTCATTTAAGGGCTATGACGTCAGTGAAGAGTTGTTCTATGCTTCCTTTACTTCATTCAAAATGTAACCTGTTATGCACTTTTGTCTTCCTGCTACCCTCCATTAGCTGATTCTTTGCTTCTTGATGACTGCAGGCATCACTTGCTTTCCCACCTGCAGGCTCCCCAAGTGACTGAGAGTCCTCCTTAGCGTTGTCAATCAAGATTCCTGGACCTAGGCTGGGCTCCTCACTCTGCCGTTTGTGCTTCATACATGTTTCAGAACAACTAACAATTTCCAGGCTGTTTTTCATAATTAAACTTACTAACCTGTGATATAATAGGATGTCTGTTTCCTTGCATTTTTCGGCTAATTGTGTTCATCAGTTAATTTCTTTCCACATTAAGAAGCCCTCCTGGAGAACTCAAGATTTGAGCCTTTCTGTCTAAGAATTGATTGGATTTCATGGACTCGATGACTCTAGAATACATTTATCTGCAATTGAGTAGTTTTCTGTAGAACTTGAACCTTTAAAAACAATCACTTTTCTTTTTTAGCTGTGAAATTCCATACTGTGAAGATCTAAAATGGTCATCAAGGCCATTCTGTTCTGTTTACAACAAATCAGAATTGGACAGCTTTCCAAATCCATAAAATAACTAGTGTTTTACTTATAGGCTATATACTTGACTTTACTAAGATTAAAATAAACACATGTAAGGCCAGCTGCAGTGTTGACAACACACCACTATAAAGCCTTATAAATGTTGAGGAAAATCCTGCTGCTGTGATCTAAACAATGGTCTTATGGGGGATCTTTTATTTAAAAAAATTTAAGTCAAAATATTGTATGCAAATAGCCTAAAATAAGAAACATCTGTATGGAACCACAAAAGACCCCAAATAGCCAAAGCAATTTAGAGCCAAAAGAACAAAGCTGGAAGAGTCATACTACTTGACCTCAAAATACGCCACAAAGCGATAATAATAGAAACAGTATGGATATTGTTATAAAAACAGACACAGAGGCCAATGGAACAGAATAGAGTGCCCAGAAATAATCCTTGCAGTTATGGTCAATTGATTTTTATTTTTGTTATTTGTTTGTTTTGTTTTTGAGATAGGATCTTTCTCTGACACCCAGACTGGAGTGCCATGGTGAGATCACAATTCACTGTAGCCCTGACTTCCTAAGTACTAGTGGTTCTTTCACTTTAGCCTTCTGAGTAGCTAGTACTACAGGCATGTGCTACCATGCCCAGCTAATTTTTAGTATTTTATAGGGACAAGGTCTCCCTGTGTTGCCCAGGCTGGTCTCAAACTCCTAGGCTCAAGTGATTCCTCTCAAAGTGCTGGGATTACAATGTAGCCACCATGCCCACCTCAACTGATTTTTGACAAAGATGCCAAGAACACACAATGGGGAAAGGGCAGTCTGTTCAATAGATAGTGTCGGGACAACTGGATATCCACATACAGAAAAATGAAATTAGACCGTATCTCACATCATATACAAAAATCAAGTCAAAATGCGTGAAAGACTTTCAATGAAAGACCTGAAACAGTAAAACTGTTAAAAGAAAACATGAGAGAAGAGCGTTGTGACATTGGTCTGGGCAAGGATTTTTTTGGGATATAAACACAAAAGCACAGGCAGTGAAAACAGAAATAGACAAATGGGATTGCATCAAACTGAAAAGCTTCTGCAAAGCTTAGGAAACAACCAAGAGTGAGGAGGCAGCCTGCAGAATGGGAGAAAATACTTGTAAACCGTACATCTGATAAGGAGTTACTATGCAAAATATACGAGGAACTCAAACAACTCAATAGTAAGAAGACAAATAACTCAATTTAAAAAATGATATAGACATTTCTCCAAAGAAGATGTACAGACTGGGCGAGGTGGCTCATGCCTGTGATCCCAGCACTTTGGGAATCTGAGGCAGGCAGATGACAAGATCAGGAGATCGAGACCATCCTGGCAAACGTGGTGAAATCCTGTCTTTACTAAAAATACAAAAATTAGCTGGGCATGGTGGCGTGTGCCTGTAGTCCCGTGTACTCAGAAGGCTGAGACAGGAGAATCGCTTGAACCCAGGAGGCAGAATTTGCAGTGAGCCGAGATCACGCCACTGTACTCCAGCCTGGGCAACACAGTGATACTCCGTCTAAAAAAAAAAAAGAGAAGATATACAAATGGCCAACAGGTATATGAAAAAATACTCAATATCACTAATAATCGGGGAAATGAAAATTACTTAATGAGATAATGCCTCACACTTGTTAAAATGGTTATTATCAAAACGAAGAAAGATGGGCTGGGTGTGGTGGCTAATGCCTGTAATCCCAGCACTTTGGGAGGCTGAGGTGGGTGGATCACTTGAGGTCAGGAGTTTGAGACCAGCTTGGCCACATGTTCCCCATGTTCACCCCATCTCTACTAAAAAATAAAAAAATTAGCCAAGTGTAGTGGTGGGCACCTATAATCCCAGCTACTTGGGAGGGTGAGGCAGGAGAATTGCTTGAACCTGAGAGTTAGAGGTTGCAGTGAGCCAAGGTCGCACCACTGCACTCCAAGCTGGGTGACTGAGCAGACTCCATCTCAAAAAGAAAGAAAAGAAGATGAAGGGTAACAAATGTTGGTGAGGATGTGGAGAAAAGGAAATGCTTGCACATAACTGGAAAGAATGTAAGTTAGGATGGGCATTATGGAAAACAGATTAGAGACTCCTCAAAAAATTAAAAATAGAACTTCCATTTGAGCTGGCAATCCTACATGTTGAAGAGATGAACACTCCCATGTTCACTGCAGCACTGTTCACAGTAGCCAAGGGCATGGAATCAACTTAAGTGTTCATCAGTGGATGAATAAAGAAAATGGAGTATATATACACAATGAAATACTCTTCAACCTGAAAGGAAATTTTGTCATTTGTAACAACATGGAAGAACCCAGAGAGCATTATGTTAAGTGAAATAAGGTAGGCATAGACAAATACCCACCTTCTTACTTACATGTGGAATCGAAAAAAGTTGAACTTAGAAGAGTAGAGAGGGTTGGGCGTGGTGGTTCACACCTATAATCCCAGCACTTTGGGAGGCCAAGGTGAGCAGATCACCTGAGGTCAAGAATTTGAGACCAGCCTGGCCAATATGGTGAAACTTGTCTCTACTAAAAGTATAAAAATTAGCCGGGTGTGGTGGTAGGTGCCTGTAATCCCAGCTACTTGGGAGGCTGAGGCAAGAGGCTTGAACCCGGGAGGCAGAGGTTTCAATGAGCCAAGATTGTGTCACTGCAGTCCAGCCTGGGCAACAAGAGCAATACTGTGTCTCAAAAAAAGGAAAAAAAGAAGTAGAGAGAAGTGGTTACCATGTGTTGGGGAGATGTTGGTCAAAGGACACACAATTTCAGTTAGATAGAAAGAATAAGTTCAAGAGATCTATTGCACAGCATGGTGATTATAGTTAATGTAGTCTTGAAAATTGCTAAGAGTAGATTTTAAGTATTCTCATCGCAAAAAAATATGTGAGGTGATACATATGTTAACTAGCTTGATTTAGTCATTATATGATATACATATTTTAAGATAACATGTTTTAGCACGTTCTATAATTTTTATTTATTAATATATTTTAAAAATTTTAATTATAAGGCTGGACGTGGTGGCTCACTCCTATAATCTCAGCACTTTGGGTGGCCGAAGCAGGTGGATTACCTAACGTCAGGAATTCGAGACCAGCCTGGCCAACATGGCGAAACCCCATCTCTGCTAAAAATATAAAAGGTGGCCAGGCGTGGTGGGGGTGCACCTGCAGTGCCAGCTACTCTGGACGGTGAGGCACGAATATGTCTTGAACCCAGGAGATAGAGGTTGCAGTGAGCTGAGATTGCACCACTGCGCTCTATCAGTCTGGGTGACAGAGCAAGTTGCTGTCTCAAAAAAATAATAATTATGAATTTTAAGTCAAAATATTGCATGCAAGTGGCTAAAAGTAGGAAACATTACAGAAAAGCTTATAATGAAAAGCAACAGCATCTTGCCTTCCTTCACTTATTTCTACTTCCTAGAGCAACTGCTTTTTTTCCTATAGACACTTTTTACTTCTTTTACAGTGACTTCCACATGTGTAAATACAGTGCTTGCAGCTCGGCTTCTCACTTCATCAGTCTTAAAGGCTGTTTTGTGGGGGCTTGTTGGGATGGCAGATCACGCTGTTGGTTCACTCTGACCATCCCCATCTCCCTGCCTTCCTACAGCTGATTGTCACTTTCAGTCTGCTGTTCCCCTCTGTACCCTCAGATGACACAGGCAACCTGATTCTTTTTCTGTCTCCTAGACACACTGTTTCTTGTCTACTAACAATATGCTCCCAGTCCAACCCCTCAATTCCAGGCAGCTGTACCATTAATTTTATATTGTCAGGGTTTGTAATACCTATATTCTGTTCTTTAATCTCACTCAGCAAAGGCTTCCATGATTTTATCTCTAGATTCTGGATGTTAAAAACCAATTAGCGGTATTTTTTTCTATTACGATTAAGTAGATGCTTTTTTCTTTGGAACATAGTTGTGGAGTGGGATTCTAAGTCTCTGAGCCTGAAGTCCTCACCTGTTTGCCCCTCAGTAGAGTATATTTAAATGAATTTCCCCTACCCTTTGTTATTTGAGACAGTCTCACTCTGTCACTCAGGATGGAGTATAGTGATGTGATCTCAGCTCACTACAACTTCTGCCTCCCAGGTTGGAGTGATTCTCCTGCCTCAGCCTCTGAGTAGCTGGGACTACAGGCGCATGCTACCACACCCAGCTAATTTCTTATATTTTTAGTAGAGATGGGGTTTCACCATGTTGGCCAGGCTGGTCTCAAACTCCTGAACTCAGGCGGTCTGCCCACCTTGGCCTCCCCACAAGTGCTGGGATTACGGGTGTGAGCCACCGCGCTCAGCCTGGATTCCCCTTTTATACTGCAGCAGCTGCCTTGAAGCTAGCCTCCAGTTTTTCTAGGTTTTTGGTCACCCCATCTTATCTCTCAGGAACCCACTTTGTTTCTAGAGGTCTTGCTCTCACAGCCCGCCCTCCTTGATCAGGACAGGTTGATCTCTAGGCGTGCTGCATATGGCTCAGCCAATGCCAGTAGCCAAGGGAAGCTCGTGATTACTGCTGCTTGAGAATTCTGTATCCAAACTGCTTGGATCCAGAGGTGCTTCAGATTTCAGTTTTTTTTCAGATTTTGGAATATTTACGTATACGTAATGAGATGTCTTTGGGATGGTACCCACATCTATACATGAAGTTTATTTATGTTTTACATATACCTGATACACATAGCCTGAAGGTAATTTTATACATTATTTAAAATTATTTTGTGTGTGAAACCAAGTTTTGACTGTATGTTGACTATGACACGTCGCATAAGGTCAGTTGTGGAATTTTTTGCTTGTGGTGTCTTGGCAGCACTCAGAACATTTCAGACTTTGGAACATTTCAGATTTCAGGTTTTCAGATTAGGGATACTCAGCCTGTATTGGAGAATCAGCTCAGGCTGTGGTGTCTTGGATGGGGCAGTGGCCTGATCTATAAAATTAGTCATCATTTATGGAGGACCTGATGCGTTAGGCACCTACATACTTGAAGCCTGGTGTCTCTTGAAATTCACACACCAGCCTTGTAGAACAGATGTTGTCACTGACATTTCACACACAAAGAAGTTAGACCCTGGGTAGATGACTTTTGAGACCATTCCTTGAGTGGAAAGTGCTTCTTGGGTCCTGGGGCGGGCTGAGGGCATGGTGGCCAGCTGTGTTTTATAGGTCGGAAAAGACTTCTCTGTCTCTTTCATGTCTTGCACACATTCCTCAAGAGATCTCTGTCTTTATCCCAGAAAATCTCTGCTGTTCTAGCAGAGTCAGCTCTGCCTCGTTCCCAGCCTCATCCTTGTTGTGGGTGTGCCTTGTGGCCAGGAGCTCATTCTAAAGAATTCTGCTGTGCGTGGACACGGAACATCCTTCTTTGCTTAATGTTCCCTTGGAAAAATGTGATGTGAGAAAGTTGGACCTCTTAACCAACCCTGCTGGTAAATGGAAAAAGGTATTTTATCAATGACCATTATTGTATTTTGTATTTTCTCATAGCCTGAAGTGTAAGTGTGTGTCAAGTATATCTGATTCTTTTAATGCCTTGTGTATTTTTGAGGTTATTTTGGAAGAAAGGTTAGAAAGATAATCATGTTTCATTTTTAACACTTCTGTTTTCTCTCCATTCCTCACAGAAATGGAATTTTCTCCATTTCTCTGAGGAAAATTTCATTTCTCTTAGGAATGGAGAGAAAACAGAAGTGTTAAAAGTAAATTCAGAATGGTGGTCTGAATAAATCCTTTAGTATAGTGGTATTTGTGAGTTACCTCCTATGGTAGTGACCAGATGGATGGCAGGTGCCCTGGGAGATGGGACTCTTACACAGTGTTGATGTCCTTCCCACTCCTTCTCACTATACAGAACTAGATGAAGCGTTGATCGTGGAATCGTGAGTCTCTCCACAGACCTGTTACCAATCAGTTCTCTGCTTTCCCCTGGAGTAGTACAGTAAGGAGCGGGTGGCTGTGGATGGAGTTCCTCCACGTTACCTCTGTGTCAGGCCAGGATGGTGGCATTACCACATGCAAATATGCTTCTTTAAACATCTTGGCGTGTTACATTTATGCTCCCAAACAGGTATTGGGTAAAAGGAAACTTCTTTTGATCTGTGCCTCAGTTATTTAAGGAGGAGACCTTTGGCCTTATTGAGGTAAAGTGTTAAGGGATAGAGGAGAGTCAATATTTAACTGGCTGCAGTGGTGACCAGGGGTGATGTCTCTCATATTTAAACTTGATCGTGATAAGCAATCCAGGGTACCCTTTCATCAGCTTACAGTGATCTCACTCTGACTTGAAGTTTTTTCTATCAATTGGTTGTAAGGACAGAATAGAATGCTGGGCAAATAGATTTGTAATCTGTATGTGACAGTTTTATTCTATTATACAAAGATCAGTAATCTTCATAGCTTTACAAATCTGGTGAAACTTAGATACAAACCATTGTAGTGGCACAAATCTATTTGGAAAATTTAAATCTGAGGCAGACCCCAACTCTTCATCAAGAGAGAGAGACATCAGTGAAGTTTACAAAACCTTTTTACCTGATCCTAAATATTTCCAAGTCATGTCCTATATTCTTCAGTTTATTTATCTCTCAGGGATGAGGAGTGACTCAATCTCTCCTGCAGGAGAACTTTTGGCTCTCATCACCCAGGTCGTCCCGGATGCTCGGTTCATTTGCCTTCCCTTTGGAGAGGTTGTTGCCGGCACAGAGGGCAAGCAGCGTGAACGTGGGAGTGAGCACTTGCTGTCCCTGTTGGCCACTCTTCTCAGAAGTTTGGATTCAGAGGAAGTGGATTCAATACTCTAACCTAGGAAGGAAATTAAAATTGACCGTGAAGGATACAATGACTTTTGTGCGTTGTTGTGTTGTATTTACATGTTTCCAAAAACACGGCTGTGTAGAGAGGCCTGTGGCAGATGACAAATGAGCAGAAAGAAAGCTCAGAGGAAGAAGGGGATATTGCTAGAGCAAGTAGAGCAGGTTTCCAAGAGGAGGTGGGAAAGTTGATGTGAGTTTTTGCTGATTGTAGCTGAAAAGACTGAAAACAACAGTGGGTTATATAGGATGTACGTTTAGTTTTCTTTCAGCTAGAATGAAGTCCTGAGGTAGGCTGTTGAGGGCTGGTGGGAGAGCTCACAGAGGTTGTGCAGGGACTTGGGTTCCTTCCAGGATGTCTAAGTTTTCAGTGAGGTGCAGTGAAACCTTACTTGGGGTGAACTAAATTCAGTGCATCAGGCAAAAATTCCTTACAGACAAAATTGGCTGGTGAACACCCCTTAGGAAGGTGCCACATTAGAGGCCAGTATACTATCTTCCAGTGAGTCCAGTAAGTGGACTTTGCCTCCAGTGTTGGAGCAGCCTGCTGCTCAGCAGTTGGCCGCTGTGTTTAAGGGCCATGTTTTAAACAGTGGACTCATTATCAGCATCAAGACAGGATCCCAAGAGGCACTGACAAGCCCAGAGCACTGTAAATTCCTGTATTCCCTCCCACGGTCACTGGGGCTCACGTGCTTAATGAGAGGAATGGCAGTGGAGCTGCCTGCCAGATTTGTTTGTTCATACTTTCAAAAAAGGAAACTTTCAAACATATTCAGAAGTAAAGAGAGTTTTCTAGAGGACTGTGCACTAACTACCCGAGTTCAGAGATGATCAGTTCTGAACCAGTGGTGTTTCTTCTGTCCCCTTCCCTCTTTCCACCCACTATTTTGAAATACCTCCTTATTATTTCCTGTCAGTATTTCAATATATATGTCAAAAAGATAGAACTTAAAGATCATCTACATTATCTTATTGTGCCAGAAATGTAAAAGTTACTGATATTTCCTTAATATAATCCAATATCAAGCTAATGTGCAAATTTCTCAGTTGTCTTATTTTTTACTTTTCTTTGAATCGGGAACCAAATAAGGCTTATTCATTGCAGTTAACATGCCTCTAATCTTTTAATCTATAGGCTTCTTCTTTATCTCTCCATGCCTTCTCCCATCCTTGTGATTTATTAAAGAAACTGGCTTGTTTATTTTTTAGAGCAGAGATTCTCAAACAAGGATAATTCTCCTTCCCAATCTTGGGGTATTTAGCAATATCTGGAGACGTTTTTGGTTGTCATAACTGGGGAATGCTACTGGCACTGAGTGGGTAGAGGCCACAGACGCTGTTAAACATGTTACAACACATGGGATACCCCTCACAGCAAAAATGTATCTGAAATGTCAGTTGTACCAAGGTTGAGAAACCCCGCTGTAGTTTTGTTTTACAGTCTGGATTTTGGTGGTTGCTTTCCCATTGTGCTGTTTAACATGTTCCTCTCTTCCTTGTATTTTCTATGATTTGTTAGTTAAATCTCAAGATTTGGTCAGACTCAGCTCTCTTGGGGTATGTTTTTTATTTTGTTAGTTTGTTCTTTGGCAAGAATACACGTAGGCAGACTAGGTATTTTATTGAGAAATACGTAGTAACTGTAGTCTTTTTGCATTATTGGCAATTGATGATCCCTGCCTAGATCTCTTAATTCATTAGTGATTGCAAAATAACGATATTCTAATTATATCAGTCCTACCTTGTTTATATACTAGAATACTTATATAAAGGGGAACTTTTAATTTTGTTCTCTCATCATTTATTTGTTCACACTGAAATTCATCTTGGCAAGTCAGGATAAATATGTTCTTTTGTTTTCAAAGCAGCAGCATCACTGAGATTTTGTTTATTTCTTCTTTTTAGTGTAATTTAATTGATATGCTTCAATTTAATATACTTATTGATGCCCAAACTGCCCCATATTTGGCCAGTGGAATCTTAACTGGCTCCCACGTCCTTTTGATATGATTCATGAATTTTTTGTATTTTTGTGTACTTTCTGGTGAGATCAAATGTTACAGGATTGTCTTACCCATTTCTTGCCCCAGACTGAGATCTACCAGTTCCCCAAAGAGCTCTGGTTTCCTTGAGTATTTAGAAGGCACAAGATAGAAACAAGGCATGTTTCTTGCTACTGTATTTATCATTGTTTCTGAGTATTTTCAGTGGTCAGAACTAGGGTATATGTGTAGATTATTAGTTCATACTGATTCTTCCACATGAAATTCGGATGTGCAGGATTTTTACTTAGCTTCATCAATTATGTACTCTTTTCTTTCGTCTGTGCCAAAAATCCAGTTCTCAGTGATGCCGTCATACTTTTTCATCTGCTTTATCTAATGCTGCATACACAACAGTCTATGTTCGCAAGCTATTTGGAATAGACTTTCTCTCTGTGATTGTGCCACCAACTGGATACATAGTTAGGCTCATTGATTTTATTTTATGTCTGCAGAGGTTCCTTTTTTCAATTTCAATTTTAAATAATTATGTACAGTATTGTCAGGGTTCCAGAGTCTCATCTATGAAATCTCACTCTGTGGTCTCTTAGTCCATTTGGGCTGCTATGAATGGGGTGGCCTATAAATAACAGAATTTTTTTTTTTTCCTCATAGCTCTGGAGGCTGGGAATTCCAGGATCAGGGCACAGGCAGATTCAGTGTCTGGTGAGGGTGCACTTTCTGGTTTACAGTTGCAGCTGCCATGTTGTATCCTCACATGGCAGAAGGGGAAATGCAAATCTCTGGGGCCCCTTTTATAAGGGCACTAATACCATGAGAGCTGAGATCTTATGACCGAATCACTTCCCCAAAGCCCCACCTCCAAATACCACAGTATTGGGGATTAGGTTTCAGCATATGAATTTTGGGGAAACAGACATTCATTCTATAGCTAGAGGTGTTTGATTTCACCCCAGTTCTCCTTCCATCCTGTTTCCTCCCACCCATAGGTAACAATGGAAAAAATTATGGTTTATCCTTGTAGTGTTTTTTTTTTAAATGTGTATAAGCAAATGTGCACATACTTTTGTATTTGTGTCTACCTCCCTTCTTAGTTAAGCAATGCATACTTGATGCACATTTCTCTACTCTGCTTTTTTCATTTAATTTTCCCCAGTTCTTCTTTTGTAGTGACATACAGCAAGAGCGAGAGAGAAGGACCTCACTCCTTTGTGCATCTGCGTCATCCCCCGTTGTGTGTGTTTGCCCTCTCTTATTCATCCTGTGCCCTATTGATGGACATTTGGGTAGTTTCCATCTTTTACAATTACAAATAGCTTTGTCGAGAATAGCCTTGATACTCTTAAAATTAACATTCGTTAACTTCATGGAAATTAAATATATATATGACGTGACTCCTGCTTTTGAGAAAGCAGGCTGTCTACAGACTATTGGGATTGAACAGAGCTTTGGAGCAGGAAAGGAAAGGGGAGTCGTGTTTGGGAAAAATAGAGGATATTTCGGTGGAGCAGATGTTATGTCTTCAAGTAGCAGTAAATAAGGTTTATAGGAATATCTGTTAGATCCAGATTTTGATGACCTGTATTGCTAGGCCAAAGGCTATGGATTTTATGATGCAGGCCAGAAGTTAGCAATGTTTTCTGGCAAAGGACTCAATTGCAAATATTTTAGGCCACTATCTGTGTTGC